AAAACTATCAACACACAAACCACAGATTATAAATATGATAGGCTAAGATGTTAGGATACAAGTATCTTAAGTAACAAAGAGCTAAAGCATCACCCTGAATTTTTAAGAAAATTACGTTTTTAGTTGTGTGATATAGATGAAAAATATTTACGTTTTTAAATAATGTCCAAAATATTCTAAAATATTTCTAGATGAGAAAAAATATTATCATCTCCAAATAGTTATATCATAAATATTAATTAAATTTATTTCCTAAGGGATACAACAAAAACAGAAGATCTCGATAAGATAATCACTATTTGTTCAGTATGATTCAACAAACCTGTTTTAAAAATGCAACCTGAAACCAGTAATATATGTACCTCATATTCTCTTTTTTTTGAAAGGTGAAAAATGACTTGAATTCATGCCTGGTTGTTAAAATCATCTTACATTCTTACTAAGGTGTCATTTTTTTATTTTAAGTTTTAAAAAATTATATACGCTAATTAAAACTGCCCATTCTAATTGATCTACTATATGCCATTTATCTTGCAGTAAGAACAAGCCACTTAAACTTTTAATTAAGTAAGCACACAACTTCATTTACCCTCTTGCATATGAACATTCTCAGCTACCTCACTCTTTCTTCAAGTCTTTGCCAGTAACTCCCCACCCCATACTGGACGCATACTGGAAAACAAACAACACCCCCCCACCAAGAAAAGGCACCTAATACTTCAAAACATTTTTAAAAAGGACACAGCCATTAAGAAATTATAATCTATTTACTAATAGAAAAGTGCTCGCTAATATAATTTGTGAAGAACTACAAATTTCAAAACAGTTACTGGCCACCAGCTTTAGTTTACAGCCTTAACACACATCAGTCAAGATGAAAAACACCAAGAACAGACCAAACACACACACAAAAAAGCACACGGTTTAAATTTCAGAATCAAAATTAACATCCTGATTTCACAATTATTTTTAAGAATTGGTGTGATTTACTTAGATTACTCTAGATACTAATTCTACCACAATTGGTTTCCCACTTAATCATTAGTTTGTAGAACACAGAGCTAGTAGTGAAATGTGCTACTTGCTCCCTGTAAGATATGGCTTCATAGGCTGTCAATTTTCCCCATTCATTCCCATTAAGAACTAAATCAACATTAATAAGAATAGTGAGAATTCTAGGGTAAAGTGAAACTTAGAGGAGGATTTAAATAATTCCAATAGCTATTCACAGCACTTCTCACTGTAATAGATAAGTAATACTCCACGATTCTGATCTAAAAATACTTAAGATTTCTTATCTTTGTTTTTCAGATCAGGTGTATGCTTCTTAAGTTTATATGACATCTACAAAAAAAAAAAAAAGGAGAAATTTGCCTAACAGAAGCTTTTGCAATAGTAAGGCAGACAACAAAGAATCAGTTTCCAAGAAAAGTTGGCTTGATTTCAGGGACTTTATATCCTTTTCCACACCTGGGCTAAGGATTTGCAGAGGCAAATCAGCCTTTCTTCCCTTGTGTTAGCCCACCCCAAGTGCATTTGAAACCACAGATTTTTAAAACCACAGATTTTTAAATTATTAGAATCCTTACAATTAATTGTTTAAACCTGTGGATTCTCAAGAGTAGAAAACTGATTAAAATAAGACAGGCTTGTTTACATTTTGAAGGAATTTCAGTATTTTAAAGTGTGATTAGTATTAATTTAGAGTGCAAATTGGTAGAAAGTTGGGGCTGTCATAATGTTATTACAATATTACTTGATAATTTTCTGAAGTATAATGTTATCATGATAAAGAATAAGGATTTTACTTCTTATAACTACTTGCAACTATCTCCATTCTAACCATCTCTAGAGGTTACCGACTCGTCCTCATGTAGAATATGTAGAATATGTTGAAAAATCTGTGAAGAGCTCCAAACAAGAACGAAATCAAAATCAAAACCCCTTTACCTGGCACCCAAAGGAACACAGTCACATGTTGTAAAGCAATAGCTCAGAGACAGGATAAGCCAGCACTTGTAGGAACATCAGTTCTCACCACCAATTTGCTTGACCACATACTAGTTAAAAATATATTTGAATTCTAACTGCATCTTAGCAGTAGTCTCTAAATCAGTATTTTCAAAGATTTATTTTGTTCAATTAATAGTTACAAGCAGTGCCTATTTCAGTCTTACTCATTTAACAGCTTTCTGAGTAAAAAAGACTCTAAAAGCTTTCTTTTAAAAATTCAAGACTTTCAAAGCATTAAGAATATTTTTACTTAGAAAATGAAAATAATGTACTCTATTGGTAAATGATGAGATGTTTTTAATCTACTACTTTAAACTGTATGTGTGTGTATAAACATACACACACAAACATCATGTGTGTATACATATAATTATATATATTATTATATAATATATTGAGTATGTAAAATTGATACTAGTGATTACAATTTATATTGGGGCTTACTATTCAAAGACGATAAACTGGTGATGGATTAATTTTCAATTTAGAATCTAGAACATCAATAAGCTTCCACATTAAAAACAAAAATACTAGTATTAACACAGAACTACAAATTGTTTCAAAATTGTACTTTTCTCTTAGTGCAATTAAACTGACTTACAGTAGCTTAGCAAGAAAAAGGCACTGTGAGTCGTCAGGCTGTATACAGGGGCATCTTTCCTTCCTGAAACCAGCCTCAGTACTAGATCCCACAGGGCCAAGGAAAAGCCATCAAACTATGCTCAGCCAGTTGCTCCACAGCCTTCCTCAAAGTTACACAAAATAAATAAAACAGCCCATGTGGAACTGTCTATTCACAGTAATTTTCCCTAGGCACAGTATTTTCTCTCTTAATACGAGAATCTAGAAATATATTTTTTTAAACTTAAAAAAGGAAAGGAAAGAAAAGCTATTACCAAGAAATACATAAGAATATTTGTCATTTAAAAAATGCTTCTCAAGATATTTAGAACATGGTAAGGAAAGGATTTCAATGCTTTGAAGTCCTTGACACTTAAAATATATTTAATAATCTAAATAATATACCACAGAACAGTTTCTGCCAACTGTGGCACACAATGGCACATTTACAGAATTTTAAATATTTCTTTAAATAATTGATGTAGTCATTTTGAATCATTCTGCATAGGATATCAGGTGTGAGCAGATTGCATTAACATTGCTTAAACATTTCAACTTGTCAGTATGGCCAACTCGATTTCGGAAATATTTGCAGTATTTTCCCATCGAAACAGTAATAAAGGCAAAATAAATATATGCCACTACTTTATAATCACCGAACATTAATGAATATTTTATGTCTTTTTAAATCTCCCTGTTTAATTTAAAAGGGTGAAATTAAGTCTCCTCGCTGCAATATGCCAATTATCTGTAAATCAAACAATAACTTGGCCATTATGCTCCTTTTTGTTAATATAAGAGAAGCTAATTTGAAAACACTGAGTGGCATTTTTAGGCTATCAGCTTAATAGTCCTTTCTGCCCTCTTGTGGGAGAAAGTCGAAACACACTCAAGTCAGTTAAGCTAGCAATGCAAAAGAGAGGTTTGGGAATGAGAGAAACTGCACACAAGAGTTTAGCTATAAAAATTTCACCCAGAAGACAGAGATTCCTATATTTATTCATCATGTATTTATTCCTCTTCAAATAAAAAAAATCAATCAACAGAATGTAATTTATCTTATTGTCTTGCTTTATTGCTTAACTGGAGTTACTGTGAAGCTAAATTTCCTTATTTAAGTAAATGTTCATATATACAATTTAGATTTTATTTTCAAAGATCCCTATGATAAATCTGTCAGAGTCATATTTAAATTTTAGATAAAAATGACTTTTCAAGAAATTAAAATTTTAAATTTATGATAGAATGCCCAAAAGGTTAAAAATGAAATGACAATGTAAAAGCATAAAATTCCAGAAAATTCAAATAAATAAAATAAATTGATAAATTTAGAAATCAGAGAAAAGGATAAGTGTTAATGCTTAATTACATAACAACTATTCAAGTTATCGATGGAGAAAATAAACTTAGAAAAAAGTTCAAATTCAAAAGATAAAATTCAAATTCAAAGGATAAAATTCATTAATCAAATGTAAAAAATAAACAGTAGTTTAGCCATTACCGAAACATTTTATATAATTCTAAAAAATTTCTTACTCTTTCAAGATGTTACTAATTATTTTAAACAATATGGTCTTAGATTTTTACATAGCAATTCAGGATTTAGCATGATCTAGTCTCTTAAAATTCAGTAGTTTAAAAAGAAAAGGAAGAAGTAAGTTTTATAAATTGCAAAAGTTAATATGAAATAGTCACTATTTTAATGTTTCTAAGTATAGAAGTTCTGTCAAACCCTGTAATATTCTCCATCCCCTAAGGAGGGAATTATTGGCCTTCAGCTGGGTGGGGCCAAAGGCATTCTAAGACAGCACCTTTTCTCTCATAGGAGAAGTACTTTTTTAGAAACAGTGGCCCTCTTTGGTCACACTGAAGAAAATACAGACAGCATTAACAGACTCTTTCCAGATGGTCTGAGCTAAGTGACAGTCTCAAACATCTTATGAATACTGCCCAAAGCTAGGATTGCTTATAAAAAGCCTCTAGAAATTCCTGTATAAAACAGAAGCATACATGTATAAACACATGACACATTTGAAAGAGACTTTTCAAATAAAACAGAAACATACTCCACAATGAATGTTGCAAACAATTTCCAAATTAATATTTTGAATAATACTATAAAATTTTTAAGAATTATCAAGAATAATAATTTTAAGTATTATCAAGAGCTCTCACAACATTTGTATTTCTAGGTCAAGTCATTGAGTGTATCTACTGTAATCATTGATTCTCCAGTTAATTAAAATTAAAAACCTAATAATGAAACATAAAGAGAGTTTCTACCAGAACAGATAAGCCCTCTTTAACAGGGTCAACATTAGCTATAATGAGCTACCTTTATTCCTTAGCTGTGAGACATAACTCACCTCTTGAACGGTACTGCTTCCTGAGAAGTTCAGGTTGTACTCCCGCTGGACCTCTCGGTGGGTGATGATCAGCATGAAGTTTTGATTTAATGATTCCTGCAGGGCACTGAAAGGGTTGAAAGAAAAACAAGGAACTCAGAGATGAACAAGTTCTAGCTTGCTTCACAGCTAGCTACAAAAACCCCAGGAGTATCCTAACCTCCACACAGGCATGTCCGGGCCCAATGTTATCATCTTTTCAGCTCCTAAAGGCAAGAGAGCATGCTGAGAACAACCAAGGGGAGCTAACCTGTTAACTCCTTCTCTACCAAGGTGTTTTAAAACTTCTATTGTAAATTCTTCAAATGCATACACATTTTCTGCAAACATTATTGTCTATTTACTTACTTCTCCAAGAAAATCAATTATCTTTCATTGTCAAATGATATTAAATATCTATGAAAATATTTATTCAAATGTACTACTGAAAGACTAATATGATTCTAATAAAACAGCTGTCTAAAAAAACATAAAACTATTGTTTATACTACAAATGGTGTATAAAAATAGAAATGTTTCCAGTAAAAATTCAGAAGATATAAAAATTTACAGAATTGTAACTGCTACACCAAAATTGTTTCAAAAGATTCTTTCACTTCAGATTCAGCAATATATAGATTTCAGAAACTGAGGAATTCAGAGCAACACTTTTAAAATCCTGTAGTAGAGTTCCCAAATGTTACAAAAATGTAACACAAAATATATATGTAATCAGTTACATAAATTAAAAAATATAAGTCATGATTCTATTTTATGTCCATATTGAGAAGTATGATCTTCATCAAAAATTTAATAAAAACCTATTACTATTATGTTAAAATTGTCTATATTGCCTGTCTTAAGTATAATTTTGTCATTGCTTTAGTCTCAGAAAATATGTTGAGTGTGCTACACAGCTCTGACCTACTTGGTTCGTCTTTTGCCAATCTGGAACACACACAGAATAAAGACGAGAACTAGGCGTCTAATCTGTCCAGCCTATTGTCTCACAAAGATTATGAAGGTTGGTAATAGACTAAAAAAAAGCACTAATATACATCATAGAGTATTACTAATGAATTTTTAAAAATCCAACTAAAATACAAGTTTCTTGTGGGAAGGACATTTGTTGTTTTATCTTTGGTAACTGAAGATACATTTGTTTAGTAAGTAATAAATCATGAATTTCCATAAGGTAAGAGTCATATTCAACTCTGTCTTTCAAAAAACAAGGTTACCTTCTAGAAAACTATCACTCTGGTTAGAGTATGTATTCATGTATGTATGTATGTACGTACGTATGTATGTATGTATGTTTGTTTGTTTACTTGTTTACTTTCTTATTTATTTTAAGGCAACATTAGGACAATGCCTTGCAAAAAATTCAATCTAAATAAAATTACACAGTTCTCAGAAAAACATAGTATAATACGGATACAAATATGTCACTGCCAGCAGAACTGAAATAAAAACTCAAGAAAAACTAAGAGAAAGGTGCTTAACTCTGCCCTAGGTCATGGGATAAAAAAGTTCATGATGAAAAAAAGTAATCTATTACCAGAGAAGACACACGACAAGTTGAAATTCGAAGGATAAATAGAATCTTAGAATTGAACATTCAGAAGATTCACTTGGGATAAGGGTTCGAAGGACAAAACTTTGACAGAGTTTGTTGTATACTAATCTAGAGTCAAACATTCTAGCTGCTAGAGAAAAAGCAAGGAATAAGAAAAATATACATGGTTCTTGTTTTCATGAAACTTGCATTTCTAGCCAATGGGACAAAGACCAAGTAAATGAGTAATTTTGGAGAGTGCAATATATTATGAAGCAAATGAAACAGATTATAAAATAAAAGATAACAGAGGATCTGGAAAATCTAGCAAAAAGAACAGTTGAGACAGGCATCTCCAAGAAAAGAAAAAGACCTATAAATTGAAGTTAGCATAACACAAAAACTATCAACAAAGGTCTAATCATCTGGGTTCTCACTGTAAATGCAGGAAAGCCACTGGACGTTGTAAAGAGGAAAATGCTAAGGGCTAACTTCCATTTCCATCTACGAAAGATTTCTCTTGGTGCTCTATCTAGTTCTAAGAAAGGACTGGAGAAGGGGGAGACAGGAGAAAAGGTTAATTCACAAAAGAAATGAGGAAAAGGAGAAATAAATGGTAAGAATATCTAATATAGAATACAAGTTAGAGGCAAAAGACTGACAACTGATGAAGAGCAAGAAAAAAAAATACAAACCCAAGATTCCCAGTCTGAGCAACAAAGGGATAGAATTTTACGTAATGTAGATAACTGGATAGAAAATCTGAGAGTGAGGTTTTAGATATTTTAAGTTTTGATTGCATATTAAAAACGCAAAAAGAAATTTCAATATCACTGAATGGAAGCATTAAAGGCCAAGTAAACCATGAACTCAGTAATTAAAAGGTAGAGGCAGGAAGATTAGGAACTTACAGTCATCCTCAGTTATAAGGCAAGTTTGAAGCTAACCTGGGCTATCTCTCCCAGAAAACAAAACAAAAACAACAAACAAATAAAAAAAAAAGCTAAAAGACAACAATCAAACAAAACAGCCAATTAAAAGATATGAGCAGAAGAGGCCTGGGCATGCAGGCTTATGGGAGGACAAAAACAGAAAGATCAAGTTGGAACCCTAGAACATTCCAACCACCTGAAACAAAGCAAAGGAATCAGTTTAAACATTAATGGTGAAGAGGAAAATCAATAAAGCCCAGCTGAAACAACAACAAACTAGAGGGTTCTAGGGTGGAAAGAGGAGAGAAGTCACCACATGAGGGAGTCTCCAGGAGGAGCAGAAGCAGCCAGGACGAGACTAAGATAGAAGGCTGTTCATGGTGTCCCTGGCAGTCCAACACTCTGGCAACAGGAAAAGGTACCAGAGACTGACACATCTGAATTTGGTACATCTGCTCTGGGGCCTGAATGCTGTGGATACCCATTACCAGGTGTGTTCCATCCTCTGGTCTACCCGCTATAAAGCGCTTATCTCAGGTCATGGCTTTGTCCAGAACAAAATGGTGATTTGCAAGTATGCAACCATGGCCAAGGTGGCTGAGCTAAAAAGTCACACAGCCTGGGTTCTGAGTCTTGCCATGAGTCCAGATGGAGCCACAGTGGCATCAGCAGCAGCCAATGAGACTCTATGGCTGTGGCACTGCTTTGAGTTGGACCCTGCCCTATAGCAGGAAGGGGTAGGGGTAGGTAGCAAAAAGGCTAAGGATAAGTATAAGAAAGGGGAGAAACGTGTGACAGGTTAAATGGACAAGACTTCTCTTCCCATAAGCCCAAGGGCAGAAGCAAGGCATAGAGACATTTCAATTCCTGAAGCCCGTTCTGACACTGAGAATAAGCACAGCCTCTCAATAATGTTGCAGCCTGGATCAAAAGCCCAGTGAATCACCAGAGTGTGACCCTTCCAAGCAAGTCACTGCCCACACAACAGAGCAAGCTCCACAAAATGCATCTCAAATATGGGATCTCCCTTAATCCTAAGACATGGTGTTAAAGCTTGGATCTGAGATGTAAACACTAAGACACCTGCATAGAAAAGGCTTGGTGTCCAGACAATGGCATTTTGGGGTAGTGGAAACTTCGGAGGATGGGACCTATTTTCAGAAAGCAAGATATAGTCATATAGGAGGCCTGCCTTTGAAAGGGACATTGGGATCTGGCTTTCTTCCTCTCCCTCCCTCTCTTTCCATCCCTACTCGCTTCCCATATTACCTTATCACAGGCCTAAAAGTAACAGGGTCAAACATGCATGAACTAAAACTTTTGAAACTATGAGTCAAACAAAACTGTCCTCTTTGTACAGGAGGAGGAGGAGGACGAGGACGAGGACGAGGACGAGGAGGACGAGGAGGACGAGGAGGACGAGGAGGACGAGGAGGACAAGGAGGACAAGGAGGACATGGAGGACGAGGAGGACGAGGAGGACGAGGAGGACGAGGAGGACAAGGAGGACAAGGAGGACAAGGAGGACAAGGAGGAGAAGAAGAAGAAAGGCCTAGGATGGAAGACTACAAAAGATATGCTATAAAACTCAGAATTTCAAATATTTTACTATTTTAGATTTAGAAATGAATCCATTATTTATGGTTGCCTTTTTGCAAATTCTTAGATTTGTTTCTTGATTTTGATAGTAGACTAGTCTCACAGGACCAGCATCAAGTATCATACTATTTAGAAGAAAAGTATTGTGGTCAGTTTGGCAACTTCTGGGTAGCAGTAGAGATAGAGCATATACACACAGAGAGAGACACAGGCCTTAAACTGCTAGGGAATTAGGGAACCAGTTCTCAACTTTTGCTCTACCAAGGTCAGTTGGCAAGTCAATCATTCTTTCAGAAGTATTTGATGATTGCCTAAAATATCTTAAGCCCAATCTTTAGACATGAGTACTCTGTAAATACTGTTTCCTCTTCTGGAAAACAAAAAGATAGTCTTCCTTTATAGGACTACAAATATTAAACTTTAAAGAGCCCAAGAGTGAATTTTTATTGCATAAGTTATAAGGTGGCATATTCTAACACTTGAGAGATGCTCAGACTTTAAAATCTTACAGTGACAGTGTAGCACAAACAAGAAGTGCTTTTGTAGTAAGTATTCTTCATGATTTATCAGTTTGTACAGGAGAAAAAAATTTTTGATGGAGTTGGGGAGACAGCCTAGTAAATAAAGTCCTTTTTTTTTTTTCAGGACTAAGACCTAAGTTTTTACCCTAAGAATCTAGGTAAATGGTAGACTACACTGAAACTTTAGCACTGGATGTGGAGTAGGGATACAGACAGGAATATTCCAGGCGTTAAATGAGCAGACAACATATACCAAATAGCAAGCTCCAGTTTTATGATGAGAAACTATCTCAAAAAAAAAAGAAAGAAAGACACCACAAAATTGACTGCTGGCCTTCATGCACAAGTGAAAACACCTACACAGAGCTTTCCGATAATGGAACATACTTGTATATCGAACCTAACGTTACCCAGAATCACAGTTTATTTTTATTTTTGCTGTTTGTCGGGAGAGGGCATTTCATAAAAGTCTTATTTCAGG